GGCTGTTGATGGGTCTCCCTAGACGGGATCACATCCAGCCTGTGCTGAAAGCGCTGCACTGGCTCCCAATGGCGTACTGGATTCGCTTCAAAGTGCTGGTTCTTACCTTTAAAGCCCTATATGGTCAGGGTCCGGCCTACCTAAGGGACCGCCTTTCCCCGCATGTTCCCCCAAGGGCACTACGGTCGGGGAATCAAAACCTCCTGGATATTCCAGGCCCCAGGAACATCAAACTAGCTGTCACCAGGGCCAGGGCGTTTTCGGTGGCAGCTCCTACCTGGTGGAACGAGCTCCTAGAAGAGATCCGGGTCCTGCGGGACCTTGTGCAGTTCTGCAGGGCCTGTAAAACGGAGCTCTTCCACCAGGCTTTCGAGTAGGAGCTGCCACCACCATTATTCCACCACCGCTCTTTCCATCACCGCACTTTTACCACCGCTTGAGCGGGTGTCATCGGGGGTGCGAGACATTCCTGTTGTTCTGCTATAACATCTCCAGAACACCATCTTAGTTTTATGATTGGAGTGATTACTGGAGCACCGATATTTTATTAATTGTATTATATTGTATTACTGTAATTTTATATTGTTTTATTGTTTTAACCTGGCACTTATGCCCTTGTTAGCCGCCCTGAGCCTTCAGGGAGGGCGGGATATAAATCCAAAAATAAATAAACAAACAAATAAATACAGGAAAACAACTTTTATTAATTAAATTCTCACATCACCAATATGCACTGCCAATGTCCACTAGTGCTGTAGCAAGTCATTTTCACTATTCATTTTACACATACAGTGAGTCACCTGAGAAGTTGTGATGTAAAAACCTTGATGACTGATGCTGTTCGATCACTTGCTACCATCCCCCCCCCCCAACAATATTTGGTTGAGTGTGCTTTACTATGACAGGCTGCAAACACAAAGCCAGAAAAAAGCTGCAAGAGTAACTCCAAGTCTGTAGTGCTGCCATCGCTAAGTCCTCTATGAAGATATTACCTGGTTTTTCACTTACTACCATGGCAACATGTCTAATAATGCCAAACAGAAAAGTTACATAATTTAATCATTGTAAAGTCTTGGAACCATACTGCATTCATATCTGAGTTGTACATGGGGCATATGTCCCTTCTGGCCCATTCAAGTAATGCTGCAGCTATTGGCAGCTTAAGCTGCTTCTCCTCTGAGCTGAGGCAATGAAAAAGGAACAAGTGCAAGGGGGGCTGTTGATGGAACATCCACATGGAAGAAGAAGAGGAGGAGATTGGACTTATACCCCGCCCTTCACTCAGAGTCTCAGAGAGGCTTACAAACTCCTTTCCCTTCCCCTCCCCACAACAGACACCCTGTGAGGTAGGTGAGGCTGAGAGATCTGACAGAAACTGCTCTTTTAAGAACAGCTCTGACAGAACTATGGCTTGTCCAAGGTCATCCAGCAGGTGCAAGTGAAGGAGTGGGGATTCAAACCTGCTTCTCCCTGATTAGAGTCTGCACACATAACCACTACACCACACTGGCTCTTCCTGCAGCCAGTATGGGCAGATGGGCAGAGCTAAGCTTCACATTCCTCCCTCCTCCCCACAGCCCTTTAACTGGCTTTTAAAAAGTTCACAGCTGAGACATGATGGTGTCCCTTAAATGGTGGCTCAGCTGTGAAAGAGGGAGGAGGGTTATAGGGTCACAAGTGGTCTGGCATGATCATCAACACAGTAAGACACAGGGAGGGGAAAACAAACCTGACCCAAAAACTGGAATCAAGAACCAAAAGGGTGAGAAGAAAGTCTAGCGAAGGGCCAATATTAAAAACCTAGTTAAAACTTGTAATATACAAAAATACAAGTATTTATTAGAAAGGCAGTTAAAAACATATATAAGGGCCCAATGAAAGCCTCATAATAGCCTAAACACAAGGGCCAATACACATGACCTGACGCGTTTCTGCCCTATTGGGGCCTTCTTCAGAGGTCAAACAATATTGAGGTATGCATAACTTGAATACATATTTCAATAAGATAACCAATAAGTGAATATTGGACCAGGAAGAGGAAGGCTGTAAACAAAAGAGATAAAAAGAATATTGAATATGAATAATCAAATATATATTTTTTAAAAAATTAAACTTACAATGTGATAAGCAGCAAGATCTAGAGACACAGAAACGCGTCAGATCAGGTCATGTGTATTGGCCCTTGTGTTTAGACTATACTTTTTTTACGAGGCTTTCACTGGGCTCTTATGTATGTTTTTAACTGTTTTTCTAATAAATACTTGATTTTTTTGGATATTATTAAGTTCTAACTAGGTTTTTAATATTTACCCTTCACTAGACTTTCTTCTCACCCTTTTGGTTCTTGAGGCTCATTAACACTTCTGCACTGATAAGACATAGGGGCAGAGGGGTGGGGCAGAAGCAGTAGTGTGTGATGAGGGAGTGGGGTGCATGGATTCTGCCCTACCCACCTCCATCCTCTCGTTGCTGCTTCTGCAGCGGGGGTAACATTTCTAGCCCCCTTGCCAGAAGCAGCCTTAGAGCTGAGCATATTTGGTTGCTAAACAACTTTTAGAAGGTTTCAACATGTGCTACTAATAATCAAAAACAATTATGATCAATCAAATAAGATGTTTTAGTAAAGCACCATGGTAATACTTTTAATTATGGCTATTTCACAATCTGACATTGTTACACTGCATTCTGTTCCCTTCCAGTGATACAGATTTTCATTTCGAACTCCTGACCCCAGAGTTTGCTCCCCTCATTGATGGTGTCCCAGAAATGGGGCTAAATTCTAAGAAGCATGATGTATATCAGGCTTTTAGACTGCAGTTTTATTCAGTTTAGTTTATAGTGCAATTGGATCTTTTAAAAAATCTAATGGGGAGTTATCACTGTTGCTGTTGGTCTGTGGGGGTTTTAGTTTCTTGTTACTGTTTATTTTTCTTGATTTGTTTGGATTTAGTAATAAAATTATTATTTTTATTATTTATTGTTCAAATATTTGTTATGTTATAAATGACCTCAAAGAAGATTATATTTAATATACACCTACATACATTAATTTTATACTTAATTAATTCAATGACATTCCAGAACCATGTACTATAAAACTAAGATTTCTTCCAATTACGGAAGAAGAGTTTCTATTATGCCCACATCAAACCATATATTCATTCCAACACTTGGTTTAGGAAATGGCTGGGGAAGGCTTATGTAAGATAATGCATTCTGACCTTTCTTGTAAAGGTTATTTGGGAATTAAAAAACAACAACAAAATGCTGTCAATTTATAATGAAAATACTTTTACCATTCCATAAATTAGAACCATTCATTTGTTAAGATTTAATCTTTACGAATAAATCCTAATTTGAAGTACTCGTATCCTAGCAGCAGTTGTGCATGAAAAATATGCAAGAAAGGTATATAAATATATTTTGTTGCCGTACATTGACAGTGCATAGCAAAGCAATATGACCTGTGGTGACTATGAACTGATCCTCATTTAACCTATCTTAATGGTAGTTTTGCAGGAATAGCACACAAAAGGAAGGTGCATTGGGTAATGTCAGTGCCATACATGACTACATGCTGAGGAGGACATTGGATAATCAGAGATGTACCACATTTCAATTATTCCAATACACCTTTCTTGTGTAACCATCATTAAGGCTTGAAATATGAGCTATCTTTACATAACCCAATGGATTTTCCTTGCGCAACTGCCACGGGGACAGGATCAGTTTATAATCACCACAGGTATTAATACACTACACACTTCAAACTACAGTAGGTAAAACCGGCCATCTGGTTCTCTTCTTGCTGTTTGGAGATGGCAGCAAGACATACTAATGAAGTTTCACAGATCTTGGAACTGTGTACCCTTTTAGTAAGAAGCTGATTCCTTGGTGTCATGGAGGGTTACGGTTGTCCTCTGACATCAAATCCACTACATCTAGGCACAGAATATTGAATAGTACGTAGTTTTGCCTCTCAGAAGTCATGCTTGGGAAAAGCTGGGGATGGTTCCCTTGTGGTAGTGTTACTGTATTTGAGGTTAGAATGGAACTTTCCCCCAGATCAGCCTGATTAGCATTATTTTTAACATGTGGCTTGGATTATCTGATCTATTGGAACCTTTTGTTGTTAAGCACTTTTCCCTGCTTATTGCTTATTTTTTCTTGGAATGTGAGAGTGGATTTGTGCCACTACTCTTTTAAAAGTAAAGCCTTAAAAGAATGAATTCTTTACAATGCATGGCACCAATTAGGTATCTGGGAGTAAAAACAAATTACATGCAACTATTCATAGAACAGCATCCATTTATTCATTACTGGAATCAAGTTCTTAGACTAACTAATGTACAACAAGAGATCTTACCATGTGTCTAGCAGACTTTATAGGTGATACAGCAGTTTCTTTTACCTGCCCTTTCTGGAATTTGATGATGATAGATATTTATGTTGTTTGTATACTTGCAGATTTATATATTTATTAATAAAGTATTTCTTTAAAAAATGGGATGCAAATGAAATGGAAATTCCATGCAAGGTACACTGACATGAGTGGTAAAACACTTGCATTGGTCTTGTTCACGTCACTGAAAACTGCACAGAAAAATTTCCCGCTAGATTGTGCCCTTAATAATCAGAAAGAACATGTACACTAATACCCAATTCCTAGTACCACCTCCTTTATTGTAGGCCTTAACAGGGCAACATATTTCTGTTGACAGAAAACATCTGGATGGCTTAAAACCTCAAAAGAACATTTGTTTGGTTAGTTATGTATCTTAAAAAAAAAACCAACAGGCACACCAGCCTGGTTGCTACACAACACAGCCAAACCGTTCATTAACCAAATCCTCTTACCACCTGTCATTTAGAATGAAATGGCCACATAAGGTCTTTAGTGAGGAACAAATTGTAAGGAAGTAAAGCTTGGGCTCACTGCATTTGGAAATAGCACAGTCTCATCTGCCATACATACTGCCCTACAGTGAACTTTCACTTACCCTTTGGGTGATAGGTTTGTCGTCCTTGACTTTTACTGCCAAACCAAGATCAGACAACCTACAGTTGCCATGCTCATCCAAGAGAACGTTGTCTGGTTTCATGTCCCTGTAGACGACATTGATGGAGTGAAGGTGCAGGAGTCCACAAGTCATCTGAGCCGAGTAGTAGATGACCCTATCCATTTTCAAGCCTCGTTCCCCTGTACTGTAAATGTGAAATCTAAGATCTCCTCCATTCATGAGGGACATGACGAGACACAGGTCAGTTTTGGTCTGATAAGCGTAGGCCAGGGAGACAATGAAACGGCTGTTGACTCGCTCGAGGATCTGCTTCTCCAGCAGAGCCATCTTTTCACCATTTTTCTTTTTTAGTCTTTTTTTGTCCAGCTTCTTACAGGCATACATTTTGCCAGTGTTTTTCACCTGGACAGCACAAACCTAAAGCAGCAAGAAAAAAGGAATGGGGTCCATGTAAGCTAGCAACTGGAGACAGCAGATGTCCCTTATTGCCACATCATATTGTCACGTTTATTTGCTTCAGTTGTATGCTAATACCTTATTTACAGTGTAAACATAAGGACCCTTTCCTGGGAGTAAGCACCAATGAGAAGACCTGCTTAGGTTTGCTCTCTTAGCTGGTAACCATTTTAGCAAGAGACATGCAATGGCTGAGTTATATCAGATGCTCTGTACACTGCTGGAACTTAAATGGTGAATAATAGTAGCAGCCCAAGAGTTCTCCACTGGGAAACCTACTCCACCTCGCCAAAAATAAAATGGGCTACTCTTAGAGAAATGAAGGGAAGGAATACAGCAAACAAACAAATTATCTCAGCCTAATGCTGCTAAATACCTTGTAATACAGTGATTAGCAATAAAAAGGGATAAAGATGGGCCAGCATCATAGTGAGTCTTGCCTATACTGGAAGTAGCTATCTGCTCAATTCTTGAAATGTAAATAAAGGCCTACTCATTGTATTGCTAAGGCCCAACTGTTTGTGAGTTACAGAGAAAGATTACAAAGTTGATCCTTACCTCTCCAAAGCCTCCCTTGCCTAATACTCGGAACTCTTCAAAATGTCTCTCGCTCACAGGTTGCTTTTCAAAAGCTTTCCATTGCAAAAACTTCTCAAAATATTGGCTCTTCTGGAATTCTTCAAAGGGTTCTTCTTTAAGAAAGGCCTTTGCTTCTTCCATGGCTAATACCATGACAGTTTCAAAATCATTCTTAGTGGCTGCCTGGCACTTCTTGGCCAAATCTGGACTGAGGAATTTCAAGTAGCTATTGCTGATATTTTTCAGGTACATGTTGACCAGACCTTCAAGGATGCTGCTCTTGATTTTATCCTCTGCCAATTCCCAGCCATCCGCTTCATCCAAGAACTCACTGGCCAGCCGGTATTCAGGCACAGACTCCACAAATTCCTTGAAAAAATTTCTACCAATGGGCTGTTTCTCACAGATGTGCTCATACTCCACTTTAATGGAATTTCTGAGTTCAGTGAATTCATCGATCCTTGGTAGTGCAAGGCTCTTGCGCCTCTTCTGTATTTCCTTGTTCTCAGCATCTCCGCTTTTCCTGGCCTGTAGATATGCTGTGTTGGCAATCAAGTTATCCAGTCCCCCCATGTCACACATTTTGGCGACCTATTAGGGTGGCAGAACCAAGTTGGATCAAAACCACTGTGTAGACCTGGTGTGGCTGCCCTGGTACTGCTTGCCTTGTTCTACCACCTGGATGTGTGTGTGGGCTTCAAAGAAATGCTGGGGAGACTGACTGCTTTAGCATTAAATACCTCTCAAGGATTTTTCACTAAGTACCTTTAGGTTACGTACCATTTGTGGAAAGCAGCTGATAAGAGATTTCTGTCTAAGGAGCTTTGTGTTTACTATCTATAGCTAAATGAAAGGCATCCCAGGAAAACCTGCTCCCTGCCACCAAAGCCTAGAATGCATTTTTCAACACAAACTGCTCCTTACCCCTAAAGCATGCTACACCTCTTACACCACTCTGAGCCCAGGATCTCTCCTCTGCACGCAAAGACTACATGACACTCTGTTTCTTCATTCAGATCATATGCAGAGCAAGTCCGTGTTGAGAGCAGCATTTATGCTGCCAAAACATTTGCTGCTGTCATACACAGCTCTTTTGTAGGCACACAGATCAGCTTAGACAAAGAGCTAGCAAAGGAGGACCACTGCTCTGCAAAGAATAATAATTCCACGTACAAGAATAACAATTCATCTCCATAATTAAGCTGCTTACAACACAAGGTATTCTTTGAACTTCCATATTGTTTTATTGCCCCACTACAACTTCAGCATCACAAACTTTCAGTGTAATCGTAAGAACACTTTCTTAGGAGTAAACTGAATAAGGATTCTGTGTAAACATGCTTTGGTTTACTCCCTTAGCAGTCCTAAGAACGTTTAATAAAATGGGACTTACTTCTGAGTAGACTTGCTTAAGATTGCTCTCCAAGAAGGTATGCTCAGAATCCTATTCAGGTCTATTCAATGGGGCTTATTTCCAGGTTGCACTCACAGAATAATCCTAAACCAAGTTGTATCCTTTTAAATCCATTGCAGTCAGTGGGCTCAGAAAGGCATAACTCTATTAGGACTACATTGTGTGACTCCTAAATCCTAGACTCAGAATAGAGTTTTGCAGGGGTCTTGTTGTAGAAAAAGAGCTGCCGGAGCTCATTAGCATAACTCATTAGCATAACTTATTTGCATATGCCACGCCCCCTGACATCACCGGAAGTGACAGAAGGCCACACCCCCTGACATCACCGGAAGTGTGTCAGAAGGCCCGGCTACTTACCCTCCTGCTTCATCCTCATTCCCAAACGGAATGAGGATCAAAGCAGAGGGCGGGGTAAAGAAGGGGGCGGGGCTTCACCACGTGACCGCCCCGCCCCCTAGAGGTTCTCTTCCGGAGCTCCGTACCTGAGAGCTCCCCCCCGACTAGAGCCCTGGAGTTTTGCTTTCAGATCTTCATGAACTCTAATAAAGTAATGGCCAAATAGTGACTCCTATATTGACCTAATATTTCATTATAAAGGATTTCTGTGATTTTACTGGCTCTTGCTAGAGAGGTGAAGGCCTAGAGAAAAACCCCCAGAAAGTTTCAGGAAAAAATGTTTTTCCAAAGGACTTTCCCCAGTTTTTCCAATGGAAAAATTGGGGGTGCACCTTGGGGGAAAAAAAACTATGTTTGTCTGTTTTTTTAAGAAATAATGGGTAGAATGCTTCTTAAAGCATGGTTTCTCATACTCCAAAATTACAGCATGAAAAAGTTTGAGGCCTTTTCACAAGTTTTCCAATGGAAAAACTGGGAATATTTGGGGACTAGTAGTCTTCTCTAGCTGGGCAAAGACTGGAAGGAAAAAAGTAGATATAAAGCTTCTGCCAAGAAGGCAAAAATACAGATGCACTAAATGGTTAAGGCAGCTCAATCAGGCCCAAGACACTCAATAAAGAAGAACCAAATTGGTACATACTGATCAAGAGCCTCTTATTTTGTATAAACCTGCTACTGAGAGTTACATCTGCAGTTTTCGCAGCCATTCATGTAAGAACTCATTTCCTGGCAGTCAGAACTCCCTGAAATACAAATGCTTGCAGCCCTTCTTTGGGGGCTCAATTAGATGTCAGGTGACCTAAGTGAAGGGGAGACAGACCCCTCAGGGCAAGACAAACAATATACAAAAGGTGCTGACAGTCACAGATCTCCCCTCCCCCTACTAATCCCTTCTGATATGTCCCAATTAAGCAACAGGTAGCAAATTTCCATACACTATATGCATCAGCTTTAATTTACAGTTTATGGTAGATATTCAGATAGAAACCAGCAAGTGCTGTCATTTCATCGGTTATATACTGGTTTATGCCTATACATCAAGGTTCCCCAACCTTTTCGAGCCTGCGGACACCTTTCTAATTCTGACAAAGGGTGGTAGATGCAGCCACAAAATGACTGCCTCAAGAGGCAGAGCCAGCCACAACATGGCCGCTGGTGTTTACTTGCAGTCACACAGTGAAGATCTTTGTGCTGTAGTCAAAGAAACACTTTTTAAAATCTGCCCAGCCAATCAAATTTCCAACAGCCAATCAGAAGACTTCGTGGGCAAAAAGCACACCTAGCTCCACCAACTTTCTAAAAACACTTGGTGCACACCAGGGAAAGGTCTTGGTGGGCACTGCGACCCCCACTTTACACACTGCTTGGACAACAGAAAAGTGTCCCTAGATAGTTTATAACCAACTAAAGTAGGTTTTCCAAAATATCTGATAGTTCCATGAAGATCAAATCATTGTAGAGGGGATGAGATAGTATAAAGCTTTTCTGATTATATACTGCTGGTTTTAATAGCTGCTGTTTTGAAATACTGATAGGTATACTACTGTTTCTTTTTTTTAATGTTTGGTGCCTTAAGGTGGATTCTGGAGGCTGTGGGATATAAATCTTATAAGAAATAAGTGCATGGGTCAAAATCTTGAGTTTTGAATATAAGGCCATATGAAATAAGATGATAGTTTGAACATGACTTAAAATTACTCAGACGAGACAAATATTTTATTATGAGGGATGGTTCTCAAAATCTACTGTTCCTATTTTGTACATAAAAGTTTTTCCTACATTTAACTCCTGTCACCTGGCCACATTCTTCTGTTTGATGGTAGCTGGTTGTACCGCAGGACTATTAAAATGCAAGGTAAATGCATGTTATGAGTATTTACAGGAATTACGATTTTTCCTAACCCACCCAGGGAGGAGGAGGAGGAGATTGGATTTATACCCTGCCCTTCACTACTCAAAGGAGTCTCAGAGCGGCTTACAAACCTCTTTCCCAAAACACAACAGACACCCTGTGAGGTAGGTGGGGCTGAGAGCTCCGACAGAAACTGCTCTTTTTCAAGAACAGCTGTGCCAGAACTATGGCTTGCCCAAGGTCATCCAGCAGGTGCAAGTGGAGGAGTGGGGAATCAAACCCAGTTCTCCCAGATTAGAGTTCGCGCACTTAACCACTACAACCTCTTATCCCACCTTAATGCTTGGCTCAGAAATAAAGCAGAATTGCTCCCTTTATCGCCCATATACAACAGCAACTTGTAACTTAGTAATCATGGCTGAAGGCCGGGCCCACAAAAAGTATGAAATAAATGACCTCATTTCTGACATCATGCCAAATCATGGTTTTTATTAGCTAGCGTTTAGAATAAAGACCACGGTTTGCGCTTTCAAACATAAAACAGATGCACCTTAATTTGTAGCTGGCTGGCTGCTTTTGTTTTCCGTCCTCATTACTCACCTCTACCAGGTCACAATGTTATTCTGACTTCTATGGGGCAGGGGCCTCTGCAGGTCAACCAATGGCTGTAACTGTGGTTTATCAATTCAGAGAGCATGCCAAAAGCTGCTGAAGCTTCTTCAACCACTGTTCTGGTTGGGACTATGGTGTGGGTGGAGAAAGGGCTCCTGCACCCCCCCCCCCCCCCCCCCCATGCTGTTCTTCCAAACCTAAATGGCACCACAGGTGTTATTTGCCCCATGGGGGAAGGGGTGCATGTGCAGCTGCCCAACAGTAGATCACTTATCAGAATGAGACAAATATGAAACAGGGAGCCTCTAGACATTGAAGTCCCTCTCAATGACTTGCTGCAGCATAAGTTCTGCAACAGAAAGCTCCCAAGAGTAATCATTTATCATGCTCCAACACTGGATTTGATTATATGGACAAAGATAATTCACAGCTGTGCTGAATAATAAAGGGAAGTGCCAAAGAATAACTGATCGTTTCAGCAATATTCTTTAATATATTTGAAATGCTGCAGCCACGACTCCATCTTTATTATACATTTAAATCCTGTTGACATCAGCAAGAAGTAGAACTTTTGGTAGGTCACGTCCTGTAATAAGATGGTGGGGACAGAAGTTACATCTAAACAAATCCATTTGTTTAATTGTGCAGGAAAAATAATGTGCTTCATGGTTGCTGCTTTGACCCACCACTCGGATGCTCTTTTAAAAATGCTACCTCCCAAAAAAGATATATTCATATTGTTTTCATGAATCCATATCTTTACTAAAGTGCTGGCAAACAGGTGGAAAGAGAAGTTAAGCATTACCAAATATTAAGGCTGTGATCCAAAGGCTGCTGCACACAGACCCCTGTGCTTGCACTGGGACTTCACAGGATGGTGAATGGGCTATTTGGAATCAAACAACTTACCAAATACAGAACAATAACAAGACTTACCGGTTGCTAGTTATCAGACTTTCCTGTGTCTCTAGAAGACAGATTTTAATTTAATTAATTTCCAATTAAATTATACTGCTCTACAAAAAAAGAAGCTGAGCACTTAATAGGGTAATGTTTTAATACTGTGAATTACAGTACATATTTTGATAGGAGTAAATTCAATTTCACCCTTAAAGTATCATAAAAACAGACAGTATTCAAAACCAAAAGGTTTCATCTTAATGCAACAAAGCAAAAAGTAAAAATGAACGTGTCCACACCTATTTATTTCAATAACCCAGTTTCCAGAAAACAGTGGTATTGTAAGCTGTAATTGCTTAGATTATATCATACTTGTGGGCTTCATCAGCCCTAACACTTTCCTAAGCAATTTTACAAAGTTCACAGCAAACATTTAGATACATTCTTCAATATTGTGCATCTGTATTCTTGCAAGAACAATCCTGAAGAAGGCTCCAATAGATCAGGAAGGCAACACAAAATTTTCAAACCAAGATCATAAAACTCTGTAGACCTAAATAAATAAAACAAATTCTGCCACATGTTGAGTAGTCCTTGTTCATCGGGGAATATGGCATCAGTTGTTTAATGTTCTAAAGAAGTTCAGCAGAAAAACTGCTGGTGCTTTTATTTGCCTATTCTTTGAACTACCCAGTCCTGTTGGCAGAGTGGGCAACGGTTGTTCTGTTTCACCCACAGTGACATACAGCAATTGTGGAAGGAATGATTACACTCTCCCCAGACCACTGAAAGAAAAGAAGAAGAGATTGGATTTATACCCTACCCTTCACTCGGAGTCTCAGAGCATCTTACAAACTCCTTTCCCTTCCTCTCCCCACAGCATACACCCTGTGAAGTAGGTGAGGCTGAGAGAGCTCTTTCAAGAACTGCTCTTTCAAGAACAGCTCTGACAGAACCCAAGGTCACCCAGCAGCTGTAAGTGGAGGAGTGGGGAATCAAACCCGGTTCTCCCAGATTAGAGTTCATACTCCTAACCACTACACCAAAAAAGAAAAGCAAACTTGAAATACCACAGCTCAAAACTAGTTTGGCAGGTTTAGCTATAACAAACTAACATGGCTAACCCTTCGCATACAATTTTTACAGTATGAATATAAGAACATAAGAAAAGCCAATGTTGGATCAGGCCAGGATTCAAAGCAACATGCAACATGCTCCACATTGCCAAAAAAACACTGTATTTTTGTTTCTTGAAAAGGCATTTCTGTAAATTAAGAGAGTTTGTGATACAGCACTGGAGACGCTGAAGATGCTTACTGTTCAAAGTGAAAGAAAAAGTCATATCACACTCAGCACAAGCAGCCACTGGGTGTTTCAAATTCGACCTGTGACATTTCCCTGAAAGACTTTATGGCAGATAGAAGGTTGATGTTTCAGGCTAACATTTCTCAGCCAAACACTGCACTTTCCCTCTCCTTCTTCTCAGGACCAGTTCTCCCTGTAGAGAGCGCACTGGAAAATGCTGCTAGGTGGCAGCTGTCCTCTAAAATTTGAAGACAGCTCAGCACATGAACACCTAAGGTGTGAAGCCTCCACTCCAACAGCTTTTAAATACAGAGGCACAATTTTAGATTTTGGTGATTGATACTGACTTACTACCAAACCAAACGTTTCCGTACATAATATTGAATTCCATACTTCATCACAGAATTTCCAAATTGTATAGAAATCTGAACTTCTTTCTTTCAGATGTAGTAATATATACATACAAATTAAGCACTTACACCACACAAATTTAAATACTTCTAAGTAGTGCAGATTTCAATGGATTTACAGTCTTTTGTTGAAATCAACTGAACTGCTTATTTTGGGCAGAATTGTGCCCAACAAGACACAATCTCTTCTATAAAACTTATGAAGTTACTGATGTATATTCTCACAACCCTCTGACATTCTCTTTAAATATAAAAATCTTACTATTAAAAATAATATATTTGAAACCTCAAGAATCTCAGCCACTATGAAGTCAAATGATGTTCTTTATTTTCAAAAATTCCTATTCTTCTTTCATCCAACCAAGCCATCTTTTCAGAGAAATGACTGAAGATATGAAAGAGGACATAGTAGCTGCTGCTTCCGAATAGACACATATACAGAAAGGATTGACAACACATTAGCTACACCCAAGTACTTTATAGAACAGTACGTCTTTTAGTTGAGTGAAGCTCAAGAGAATTTTATTGATGCACAAAAATAAGAAGTACTCACTTGAAAACTTTAAAAAGCACCCCACTAAGAAAAAGCCTTTGGTTGAATAACAAGAGAATGAAATCACAACATACCAACACAATCCTCTTGTTTGTTTTCAGCTTGACATCTAAGACAGGCATCTAGATGTAAACAAGAACAAGACTAAATGTAATGTTCTGGATGTACCTCTAATAACTGGTTTACCAAAGCATGTACAACTGCGGAAAGACATTTTGGAAATATTCATAGTGTATTGAGTACATGTAATATCTAGAAATCATATACCCTAATGTCATGATTTATGAAGCTATGTGTGCATCACAAAAGCTCAACTTTCACTCATGATAAATAATTATTTTAAATAAGCAGAGTTTATAAGGAGAGAAGCTTATGGAGGTTACAGGCAAGACATTGATTTGCTCCAGCATGTTTCTTCTTCATACATATGAAAAATGAATTATTGGTAGTGAGGGGCTGTGGCTCAGTAGCAGAGCATCTGCTTGACATGCAGAAGGTCCCTGGTTCAATCCCCCAAATATCCAGCTAAAAGGATCAGGTGATAGGTGATGTGAAAGAGCTCTACCTGATATGTTGAAGAGCCTCTGCCAGGCTGCGTGGACAATGCTGACTATGATGGACCAGAGGTATGATTCAGTACAAGGCAGTTTCATGTGTTCATGTGCATTCATGTGATCTTGTTACACTGGAAGCTATTGCATTGTAGAATTTGTAAAATTTGAGACTGAATGAACAATGGATGTTAGATACAACACAGGTTACTAAAGATTCCCAGGTCAAAAGTGGCTATTCTCTACTTGCGATTTTACCTGCATGTACAGGAGTACATAGGAAAATGTACTATGCACTTCAGAAATAAACTGCAGCAGTTCTTTCACTTATATTACTTTCTAAAAGTACCGTTATTAGGAACCGCTACAGATAAATAGAGATATGTAAACAGATATATGTAAACACAGCAAACACGTTTCTCCACACAATTCTGTAAAAAGGCTTGCACGAAGAAACAATCCCCTTTTTCACTGTCCAAAATTGTCCAAAAGGACACACAGCATGATTCCCAAATAAGGAAGAAATGATAACAGAGAACTGTGCCAGTCACATATCCGATCTGATCTCATGTGAACTGTATTTATACATCACAAACACACAAGATGTGTGAGAGATGCAACCTGGAAATATCTGTGATTCAAAAATCCCTGTGATTCTATAATTTTCTGTGATTCTATAATTATCAGGGGCTTGGGCAGACAATGTCCCCTTCCCCCCCACTCACCACCAACAACACCTCTGTTGATGATGCCCAAGGCACTCTCAGCGGCTTCCAATATTCTTGAACATGCTTGGTCCCTATCAAGCCTTATATGGGGTTTTGCTTTTTCCTTTCGGTTAATTTACAATGCTGTATTTTTCTAGCTCCTCCCCTCAATATACTGTCACCACAGCCCTACCTGAGGGTGGCCTGGTTTTGGTACTTTTTTGACTGGCATAAACCACCCACTTTTTAGTACATAAAGTGACAGGCTAGGGGCCTCCAAGAAATTATGGAGGGAAGGAAAAATATGGAAATTCACCACTCTCCATCACCTTCAATTAGCTTGCAAGATTTCATTCTCACCTCACCGCCCTTTCTCCTTTACATGACTGTAAGGTGCTGTCACTACCCCATGCCTCCTACTGCACATTCAGTCCTCATCAGCATGCTCATTTTTTCCCCTTTTGGTCAGTTTGCAAAAATACATTTTCTTGTATATCTAGAGTTTCCCAAATATGCAGAAACCCCTAACTTGGGGAGCCCGGGTTTGCTGCTTTCATGATCATATTAAAGAGCCTGTTAGCTTTAGTATCAGTTAGTCACGATTATTATAAATATGCCATATTTCCATGCAATAATATTTTGTTAATTCATAAAGATCTCCTAGTAATCTGACAGTGACGAGTTCTTCAATTTGGAGAAAAATCTCCAATCCTCACATTTAATAATTGCTATTTTTGTACTATCCTAAAGAGAGCAACCATGGCCCTACACACTTAGGTACAGCTTGGGATCTTTTTGCACCCAAAAGCTCTGTCTTCTCACATCTGTGTTTCTGCTTAAATTATAAAATTATAAAATAAATTATAAAAGAGCTTTCTGGTAACTTTTTAGGTAGTCCTAAAAGAGGACTTCTATGGTCCTGTGACTTTCAAACCAAGGCTGCATACACACAGGGACAATTCTGTTTCTGTACCATCACAGCTACACTTGCACTGGCAACACAGCATTCACATGGGAACTCTGTGCACACTTCCCTTCACCAACTGCCATTTCCCCCGCCACACCATACTTGATGGCTTTTTAAAAAGTTATTAACTATTATTGTCCTATAGCACAATAACATTATAGTGATCTATTGCCACAATCTACTAGCTGCTCTAAATTCCCAGTTTTCAAGTCTCCAGCCCTTTTCACTGCAGCAACAAAAATGGCTAGAAACTTACCCTCCCCCATTTTGAAAAATAGAAAATTTGAAGTCAATGTTGAATGGACAACCCTCCCCCCTCTGCAGTTTGGAAGTCAAGGTGGAGAAACATCTGTGTTGATTATGCCCAAGGCAATCAAATGCGAGGTTATTCTGAGAGATTTGAGTAAGTCGATAGTTGCTAGTTTCCTTTGAACTAGTACCTGGACTGAACCAGATGTCCAGCTGGTACGTAAATAGTTGGTCAGCAGGTTCCTTTCTCTGGATTTAATATCATTTTACAGGCCCTGCACAGTTGAATCCAAAACTGCGGCAAAGCACTCAACCCCAAAGGCTGCATGGATCTTCCTTTGGAGAAGATGTAATATTGCCACCGAACACCCTCAAGGAGGCACCGTTTTTACACAATGAAAACGACGCTGCCGTGTCAAGCAAGGCGTCAGGGAATAAAAGAGATGGGTCCCGTTCCTTCAAATATCCATCCCCATTGCGGGAGCCACCAGGATGGAAACCATTTTGCCCCTCAGAACTAAAAAGGGGCGCTGTGCCAGCTGCTGACAGGTGGGCTTCCATAACGGTACCAGCGCCAGCCCCCTTTTCAAGGCCGGTGAGAGGCAGAGATGCTTTCTCGTGGAGCCAATGGTCCCACTCTGAATAACGACTAGTAAGAAAAGGCTCAAAAATGGTTCAAGACTCCCTCAGAGGGAGGAGGGGGGGGGGAGAAGGCGAGGCAAGGTCCGTCCCAACCCCGCCCCGTCGCGACAGGCGGGGGGTGTGTGTGTGTGTGTGTGTGTGTGTGTGTGTGTGTGCGCGCGCGCGTGTGGAGACCGCAGGCCCCGCTGCGGAGCCAGGCCTTGTCGACTCTGGTCCCCCCACCCGGACTTCCTCTCCCCGCCTTACCCATGACCTGCACGCGGCAGATGGCGCAGGTGTCGCACTCGACGTCCCAGCTCCACATGGCCACGGCGTTCCACTTCTTCAGCGAGAACATCTTGTCGGCGCCGCTCGCCTTAGAGACGGAGGGACCCGCGTGAGAAGAAGCGGAGACGCCCGGCTCGTCTCCGTCCTCCACGTCGGCCATGGCTGGGGGCGGGAGGAGGAGGAGATTGAGCTGGTTGAGGCCCGAGCGCTCCGCCCCGCTCCCGAAGCCCGGCGGCTGCAGAACGGAACCCGGGCTCCCCCCAGCGGCAGGCGGCGGAAACGAACAAGGCCAGCCGGCCCCGCACGACAGGGACTTTCTGGTAGGGCCCGATAGAGGGCCGCGGGGATAATTCCGGCCTTACAATAACGGGATTGCCCATGCGAGGGCGAGCCGGGCGGTCAGAAGGGCAGGGAAGATTGAGGGAAGCACCTTGGCGGGAGGCGAGCAGGCTGGGGTACATGCTGCTGCCAGGCAGTCAGACTCACAGTCAGTGTTCCCTCTAAGCTGAGTTAGTGTGAGCTAGCTCACAGTTTTTTAGCCTCCAGCTCACACATTTTCGCTTAGCTCAGGAAGGAGGGCTCCAGAGCAAACTAATTTATGCAGCAGCCAAATTGTTTGCTCACAGCTTTAATGCCAGTAGCTCACAAAGTAGAATTTTTGCTCACAAGACTCTGCAGCTTAGAGGGAACATTGCTCACAGTCCGTCTCTTTCCAGCCTGTCTTTCGCCCTGCCAATCTGTCCAGCTGGAGACGCGGTGTATCATCTAACCTGAGTCCCTGGGAGAGAAAGGTGGACTATAAATAACATAAATATTCTTTCATAGTAGCTGGTGTTGGTTTGGCATTTTGATTGGTCTTTTGAAGTTTTCAAAAGATGACCAGTTTGGTGTAGTGGTTACCAGCACAGACTCCAATCTGGGAGAACCTCGACATGCAGATATTGGGTGACCTTGGGTCAGTCACAGTTCTCTCAGAGCTGTTCTCTCAAGAGTAGCCTTTGAAAGAGCTCTCTCAGCCCCACCTACCTCACAGCGTGTCTGTTGGGAGAGGAAAGGAAGTGTCAGCTAAGTAGGGTTGCCAAGTCCTTACTGCATGTAGAGCGGGGGACTCCAGCGCTGCTCCAGGAGTCTGTGCGCGTGCCGCAATTACATCACCCGAAAGTGACGCAACCACATCGGGCACACTGGGGGCGGGGCCACAATCATCCAAGGAAAAAACATAGTTTTCCCTCGGATGACCGCAGCCCCGCCCCCGACACGACTGCGTCACTTCTGGGTGATGTGCTGACGCCAGGCACGTCGTGTGCTTTAGGGGTGGGGTTCCCCCTGGGGCCGGATCCGCTGCCGGCGGGTAACGGGCCTCTTGGGCGGGGGTTCCCCCCCCCGGGGGGGACTTGGCAAGCCTACAGCTAAGGCTGCCATGGTGTGGAATGTGTGGTTACTCTCCCTCTCCCTCCTCCCATCCCCCATTCCTTTCGCCTGTGTGCTGTTATCTGTCTGGTGTCCTTGAAGGCTTTACTCGGCCAGCTCCTAGCTTCCCGCTGAGAATATAACCGTTGCTTTTTGCCCGTGTCTTCAGGTGCTTGCCTATTGCAAGCAGATCCAACTGTCATTTGTAGTTCAGTAAATTTAAGGCAATTGCACATTTTTAAATAAAATATAGCCTGTAAGAATATGTGTAAATATTTTAAACTCTCATAAGAATTGTATTGAAAATGTTCTTTGTATACAAGGTTTACAAAATTAGGACATTGTATGAAGTTGCAGTTTGCTAGGATATCTCAGCTTCCTTGAATCAAGCCTCTTCAGAAAGCACCTGTGAGCTTCATGGTCACTTGGTTTTCTGCAAAACAAACACATACCAGCAGATTCCACCATGATGGCTTTCAGGAACTGAATTACAAAACACAAAGCTATCAGTCACTGCTAGAATAAAGTACCATACTGAAGACCAAATACATTAATCCAACAAAAGAAAATGCATAACAAATTCATGCTCTTCAATTTGCATGAAATTCCGTGGTCTCAAGAGTCACTCCAGGACCGGAACTGAGGTGTATCTTCATTCCATGCTATTATCAGTGGTACCAATCATCTTAAGCCCAGAGTATCTGTGTGGCTAGAGTTAGGTTGGGGACCCTTGCCATTAGCACAAAGTGTGAGTACACAGTTGGGGGAATCACATGTGAAAATTCTTGCATGTAGTTCCACCTTGCCATGGAACAAGCAGGTTTTTTGTGCTTACTCCCACAGCAAAGATGGCTAGACAGAGTTTACTGTAAAGGCAGTTTACTAAAGCAAATTAAATAATAGTTGCCGAGTAAAGTATTTGTTGGAGCTGCGGTGGCTCAAGTGAACTGCAGGCTGTGGAAGGTCGGTAGTTCAGCAGTTCAAGACCGGAGTGTGCCGCATGACGGAGTGAGCTCCCATCTCTAGTTCCAGCTCCTGCCAACCTAGCAGTTTGAAAGCAAGAAATTGCAAGTAGATAAATAGGTACCACTTCAGTGGGAAGGTAACAGCGTTCCATGCACCTTGGTGTTTAGTCATGACCACAGAAACGTCTTCGGACAGCGCTGGCTCTTCGGCTTTGAAACGGAGATGAGCACCGCAACCCTAGAGTCGGATTTGACTGGCTTTCGAGCAAGGGAACCTTTACCTTTACCTTTAAAGTATTTGTTAAACTTAGGTTACAAAGTGAGGAACTAAAGAGCAGAAGAGATGCTTACTAAATTTAGGTGCATGCAAGCAAAACTGGAGAAATATTTTCACTGTTCATGCACAGGAGCTGAGGCAGAGGGACCCTTGCTTTGCAGGGACCTGGTCAGATTTTTCCAGTTGCTCCACTTCTGGGCTGATAAGTATGGGGAGAACTAACCATTGAACAACCCATTCCTGCCACCTCTGTTCAAATCCAACTTTTAGCCTAGGGAGAAAGTGACCGCAGTGTTTGCATCTCCACTCCCCTCCTCAGTCCACAGTTCTCTCAACATTTTAGACTACATAGATTGTGAGAACAAGGTATTGTTTTACAGTTTTATGGATTGCACTCTTGCTATTAAATTGATGGCTGGTTACAATGTTATCATTGCTAATATGAGGCTATTTTCAGTTTAGAATTGCCTCTTAAAAAGAGTAAAAATACCACACTTTATAATTTTTTTAGCAAGATAAACACCCCAGAAAAGAAGACAAATACCTTTTTCTTTCTCTTTTTAGTTGGAGAGAGTTTCGTGCAGCTCCTGTAAATTTCCCGGAAGGTTACTGATGAAATCTGAGGGGTTATCATAATTTTTAAGCATGGCATTTCTTCTGCAGAGACACACACACAAAAAATCACTCTCAATTTTCAGTAGTGGTCTCTGTTATAAAATGCAAAAGTGAAATACAAAGTCTTGTATAGGTACATTTTTTCCTGGGTCAGTTATGCATTGTTCAGTTTGTATGACAACAAGGGGCTTGAATATTTATCAGTATTATTATATGTACATAGAACCGCCTTTTAAACTTTTCTTAACTAAACTGTACTTAACATAGGGAATAATATTTGGTTGCATAAAAGAGTTTCAGAAGGAAACTGTCTGGTATACACAAGTCATATCAACTGGGAAATGTCCCACCTTTCTTTCGGTCCTTCAGAGCTTCCAGTATCTTGACTGCACATTGTTCTCCTATTGCATTGCCATTGATATCAATTTCAACAAGATGTTCGGAATTCTTGATTAGACTATGATTAAAACAAACATTGTAACACTGAAAATTACTGCATGGGAAGCATTAATAAAAACCTAAGAACTTCCATTTTTATGGCAGCTGCCCTGAGCCTGCCTCGGCGGGGAGGGCGGGGGATAAATCTAATAAGCTAAATAAATTATGTACTGCATGCTGAAAAACCCACATTTCCCTTTTGAGGACATTCATGGCATTTCAATTGTTATTGCTGCTTTTAATAGGACTATGGTGGAAATTAATAGGATTATAGTGAAATTTGGCAACAGTAGAGCTTATTTTTTGTTGTCAGATTTGTTTCATTATTATGACGCTGTTCTTCTAAACTTGCAAAAATTTACTTCTTGTTACACAGAGGAAGCCATAACAACACTAGCTATCATATACTTTGCTACAAAATCGTCACAAATAAATGCAGTGTCTTCTAGGGTTCCGAGCACTATGTCAAATCACAAATCTGCCAGAGCAGTTACGTCAGCTACAGTCTATCCTGGTGTAATTCTTTTCCTAGCCCTTTCCCATACCCTCAGTGCCATTGCTCCAAGAAACATGCATCCTTTCCATCAAGAAGTCTAAAATGGTGAACAGTGGGAGGACAATTCCTATGTGACTGGTTGAAAAGACCCTAATACACACATTTTAAGTTATCCCACCAGTACTAAAGAATATTTTCTTTAAATGGTGAAATATGTTTGGTTTCGTACACAGGTTTTCCTAGCTAACCTGTTCCATCTGCTACATTTTATGCTCCAAAACAATACTGTTCTATCAAAGTTCTGTGGAATGAATAGAAGTTTGTTGACAATAGATTACTTAGAGTTGTTTTTAAAACCTGCAGTAGTCTAGAATTCTCACTCAGGTTCCTTTCACTCCACAGTCTATAACTTACCACACAGATAGACCTTCACAATGTCTTTCCTCCTCAAAAAGAGTGACATATTCATCACGTGGTCTCTTGGGAATATGAGGTGCCAAGAAAGAGTTAGACCAGATATTCCTGTCTTAATCTAGACTGCTAGAGTATTGCATAGTGTCATAAATTCCAGGAGAGAGTTATGCGTGTCCTCTAATCAGTAGCCTTACCAACTCAAAAGTTGAATGAAGTCCATAATGTTTTTTTCTGTTTGATTTAATCTTTTATCAATGGCGTTATCAGCTAAATGCAGTTTTGCTAACCATGGGCCTGGATCAGGTTTCTTACTTTTTTTCTTTACTCCTGCAAACAATGCATACATATAAGAAATATTTTTGTCACAAGTCAGGCAGTTTTGACAATCGGTTGTTTGGCGGCCTGTTAGACAGGCACTGTCCTTTGTTAGCTACTTTGGAAAAAGCTAAGGTTTGGTGTTTTGTGAAAGAGACCTGAGTATGGCTTGGTATTGGTAAGATTCAACACACACACACCCTCGTTCATACAGCACAAACTCATGTGTCATCCACA